GGAAGGGTGGCAGCCACCACCCCATTGCCAAGATCAGCTTTGTGGAAAGAAGGTCAGGAAGGGAGGCTGACATACCTTGACGAGTGGCACTCTCACCTTCTCTCATGGGCAAGAACAGCCCTAGCCTACCCCCTCACCACCTCCCACCCCCAAAATACCACAGAGTTTATAAAAGAAATGCCATCCTATGCTTCCCGGCTAGTTACATCTTGTCCCAGGCCCCTTGTATTGGGCTGGGCCAGGCTCAGAAAACCTGGGGAGGGGCTGCCTTTTACCCTTTTCAATTTTTCTTCAAAAAACAGATGAAACTGAGTTGACAGCTAAAAAATGAACATAAAAACATTAAAAACAGTGATGATAGTAGACAAGCAGTCCTGGGAAGGGGGAAGGGAGTGAGGGGGCAGGGCTAGGGGGGCATCTCCCTGCCTGCTGTCCATCAGCGTCCATCCCTGCCCTCCAAGAAGGGGTGCCCCTGCAGAGCCCAGAGGCCTGGCCAGAGGGGGAAGGCACAAGAGCATGGGGGCTGGGGACACAAGCACCCCCCTCTGAAGCCCAGGGGTCAGAGCAAAAGGGGGATTATAAAAGCCAAGAAACTACAAAACTAAATACAAAGGTGGGCACAGCTGGCGGGGGGGGGGGGGCGCCGGGGGGGAGAAAGGAGAGGTGCAGTCCAGCCGACTGTCCCTTGGGGCCCAAGGCTGTGCTGAGCTCTCAGACCTTGTAGTAGATGTTTGCTGGGCTCTGGGGTGGCATCTCTTGGACGATGTAGACAGGGTGCCCGTAGTCTCCACTCACCTTCTCATAGTGGGGGCAGTAGTTGTTTTCTGTAGTCCGTAAGGGGATGATGATGTCGCTGGGCTCGGTGCCTGCTGTGCCACTGCCACCCTTAGGACTAGCCAGGGTACTGAGCGAGAGGGCAGGCGCCCGCTGCTGCGTGTGCTTTCGGTGCCGCTTGCGCAGCTTCAGCAGCAGAACCGTCAGGAATATGATGATGAGCAGGAAGATAATGCAGCCAGCACCAACGGCAGCAAACAATGCCACCTTGGAATTGAAGAAGCTGTCAGGGTCCCCACTGCTGCCTCCACTTGCACCTGGGCCACTTTTCTCTTCCTGGTTCACAGTCTCTGAGGAAGGGGAAGCAAAGGGAGGAATGGTCAGCCAGGAGTTCTAGGGACACATGGCTTACTTATCTCAAGCTGGGCCCTCTCCTGCCTTTCTTCAGAGGCAGGGCCTGAAAGGGCCACCAAGCAATGGCTTCTGCCTGCTGGGAGATGTCTATACACTCACCATGCTTGCTGTCAGAATCGCCCAGGGAGCCCCGAGCACCAGGGGCCTGTGTGGCCATCTTGACAGTGTTGTCTGCCTCCTTGCTGGGCCGGCTGGTGGTTAGCTGCTCAGGCGTCACAGCATTAGGGTCTGCGGGTGGGGAAAGGGCACGTAAGGGAGATGGACCTGGCAGCCTCAATCACATAGCATGGGCTGAGAACCGCCTGTGTGTGCTAGCCCCCAGATACTTGAATCCTACTGTCTCCTCCCCACCTCCCAACAGACCCACGCTCATTTAGGGACATCTGGGGAGCCCTCAGACTGGGCACTCACCTTGCCCAACCTTCATGATGATCTTCATGGTGCGTGTGCGGCACACGCCCCCCTCCCGGTTCTCCAGTCCCTCCAGGCTCCCGTTGGATGTAGCTGCAACAAGAGGCCAGAGAAGTTAGGGGGAGAGAAAGGTCTGTCCATATTACCCAGAAGCCCTAGTGCTGCCTAAGCCCATAAGGACAGAACTGGGAGTCAGGGCATGGCAAACAGCTCCCACCTATCTATTAACCTTTCTACTTCTTTCCCTCCCTCTAGAAACAAAATAGCTGGTCCAGCCCAGTCCCTGGCCAGGAACTTGCCCCCTCCAAGGGTGCTGCTCCTCCATCCTAATCAGACTTTGGCCCTTCTTTCTCAGTGGACACTAAGGTGCAGCTTCTCACTGGGCAATGCTGCTCACAGGCAAAGCACATTACAAATGGCATCAAGGAGGCTTCTACTCAGACTGGAAGGAATCCTGGATTTAGGGGTCAGGAGAACTGGGTTGCAGTCCCAATCCTACCCCTAACTCCCTGTTTGGCCTAGGGCAAGAAGCCCCTTCACTTCCTGAGGCTGCAGTTTCCCATGAGGAGAAAGGCTGAACAGTTGGCTGATCCCAAAAGGCTCTGTCAACTCTGCCATTCCAAGGATTAGATTTTAGGTGGGCAAAGAGACAGGTGACAGTGCACCAGGCATTGAAGTCATCTATGACCAACTCCTAGAGCCCAGGTGAGCTGGCAGCAGGCCCCATGGTGAATGTTGGGCCAGAATTGTAAGGCCACGTTGGCAGGAGAGCATGTCAGTCTTCCCAGGTAACCAGATCAGGCAAGGCCTTAACTGCAGGCAGTCCCATTGCACTACTTAGAAGCTCCCACTACCACAGGAGAGGAGAGAGCCACATGATGAACAGGGACTCACAGGTAATGTAGTAATCATGGTGCTTCTTAAACTCCAGGCCCATGTAGTTAGGGCTGAACTCCTGAAACTTGATAGTGAAGCGTATTTCCTGCTCCGGCCTATTGCAGGTGACCAGCACGTTGGGGTCGAGTACAGTGCTGCAGGCAGCTGCCTGCTCAGGCCGTACCAGGTACAACTTGTAGTACTCGTAGGGCCGCCCTGCTTCTGCTCGGGGGCAGATGATGTCCAGCTTGTCTCCAATCTTTGGATAGATCACCAGGCCCTTCCCACTCAGGAACCTGCCCAGAAGGGAAGATATGGTCAGCCTCTGGGCTGGGGGTCCAGGCCATCCCCAGCACCAGGGGAGCAGACAGCGAGGGCCAGGCTGGGCCTACTGGGTGGAGATAGCACAAATAGGCACTCTGTCCTTCCTCTATCCTCAGGCTGGGGGTGAAGAGTGAGAACCACACTGCCAGCAGGGTGTGGAAGGGGTGGCCCATGGGCTAGGTTGCCAGGCTTTGACTGCTTGGCAGGGTGGGGCCCTGCCTAGCTGGGGGAGCCCTTTGTCCTAATGCGGCATTTCCGCAGGGGGCTGACTAGTCAATGGGCTGGGTATTAAGGTGGCAGCCCTGTTCTCCTCCTACCCCCATCACACACTCCTTCACAGCCACGGCTACCACCTCCCCTGTGCACATGTGCACACACGCACACACATACACATGCACAACAAGCCCACACATGCCTTAGCCACCACCCCCACAACTCCCAGCCAAACAACAGCTAGGGGAGCTCAACTTTTCTGGGACCCATGCCTTCTTCCCCATCCTTGCTAATCTTGGGCATGATGGGGAGATAGGTATAGACATCACTTGGGAATAAGAGGTAATGGGCACAGTCTCTGGCCAGGTGTGGCTCCACACAGCTCTCATTTCTTCCCAGGGACCCATCCCACCTCCATATCAGAAGAGCCTTATCCCCACGCTTGACCATTTCTCTTAAGAAGAGAGAGAGAGAGAAGGAGTCCAAGCAGGGACAACAGATCATATGAGCTAAGGCCGCAGGAACATGGCTCTTCTGTGTTCTAATCCCCCCACCTCCAGACTGCCTCTGCTCCAGATCCTCAGAGGAGATGGACATAATCCTTTCTGAGCTGGGTTCATCTTCTAATCCAGAAGGCCAGGCACTAGGGAATATCAGAGCTTGGAGAGCAGCTGCCCAGGGCCATCCATTCAGATCACTCCATCCTTGCCTACTTGCACAGTAAGAAAGTGGTGCTCTCTTGGCCATTTCTGAGCCTGGGCAGGCTAGAGGTGGGAGCAAGGCAGTACCATGTAGGACAAAGAAGGCAGACTCTGGAATCAGAAAGATGTGGCCCTTAGCCACTCTGCAACCTTGGATGAGCTACCTGAGTTGCAATCTCCTCACTCATAAACTGGGCATGTAAGAGCCCTACCCCCCTGGGGCTGTGGAGTGGAAATAGCACAGCACATGTAGGGCACCTAACACACAGTAGGCACTCAATATGTTTGATTCCTGCTTAGAAATAATCTTGTCTACTAAGAAGCAGGAGGCTACATCTTAACATCAAGTACCTATGAGCCCAGTTTTGTTTCTTCAGTGGTGTGAGAAAGGGACAGGAAAAGAAGATACAGCCCCATTCTCAAGGACTTTACTTTCTGGGGTGGGTCTGAAAAGTAACTGGTCACACTCTAGCAATATGTATGAGAGAGTGGTTCAGACAGTAAGGGCTGGAGGTAGGGAGAGGAAGAAGACAACTCATCTGACAGAGTGGTCAGAGATGGCTCCACAGAAAGAGTGGAATGAAAGTGGGTCCTGAGTGAGGAATAAGGGGTCAACACACAGCAAGAATGGACAGTGGTGGCTGGGACACAAAACCCAGGCCAGTTTGGCCCAGTGATTGGCAGAGAGGAGCAGATGAGATGGAAAAGCTCAGTGGGAGCCAGCTTGAAAGGCTTCATAGGTCACAATGGTTGTGCAATGTGGGCTTCATCCCACTGGGGACAGACCTAGCAGTAAGGACAACAAAGGGCTGAAGGCAGTGCTTCAAAAGGATGAAGCTGACTATGGAAGAGTGTGCTTCCACTTCCTGAGGGCCCATTCCTCAGCAGGCATGACAAGGCACGAGGGCTGACTGTAAGCCCCGTGTCCTCACCCAAGGGAGGAAATTGATACCCAAGAAGGCAAATAGGGGAACTATCAAGTAGATGAAGTAGATGAAGAAAGGAAGTCCTTCCTCCATGGTAAGTAAGGCTCCCCCAAGCTGGTATCAGCCATCTTGCTGTGCAGAAGGGTAAAAGCCACAGCGAGAAGGTCTCCCCTTTGGTACATAACTTTACCACACTCCAGAGGGCCAGAAAGGAAACAGGCATGGGATGGGGGCCTGTACAAACCCATTTACCACAAAAAGCTAAAAGGTTTCAACAAAGCCTCTATAATTCCCAAGGCATCTTTCACTTTCCAGTCCTCAAACTGGTTCCATCCAGACATCAGGATTAGACAACTTCTAACATCTTATAGCCAGAAGGAACCTTCAAGACCCACTGAGTCCAGGCTCATCATGTGACAGAATGAGTGATCAGATGAACACTGCTATTGAACAGAGGGGCTCAAAGCCAATGCAAGGGGCCTAAACACCCAGGATATTAACCCCTAGGGGTCTAAGGGCATGTAAAACATTGGCTGAATCCTTGTATAGCTGCACCTCAAGAAGACCCTCCCTGGGGGTAACAGCAGGTACACAGAGGGCATGCAAAGGGGTACAGGCCAGCTCACCCTTCTAACCACATGGCCTTAGCCTCCTCACCAGGGAGTCTTATCTGTCCTGAGCACCATTTGTCATCACCACTTTGGCTCTGGAGCCCTGGACTTGGAATAGGAGGGCTCCCACTACTTGTTCAACCTAGGGACACTGAGGAAATGGATGTCTATGGTGGGTGGGGGAGGGGGAAGAGGAAAGGAACACCCCTCAGACTCTCTTCAACCTCAGTGAATGGGCTTCATAAATATTCATCAGTTCATTTGCATAGCAGCTGGCAGAGGGAAGCTCACCTTCCCCCAAAGTGCAGAAGGGAAAGGAGCCTGACCAGACCTGCCTTCCCTGCCCCAGATGCCCCTTTAAGGTGTCTTCTGAGCATCCTCCCCACTGCTGACAAAGCTGTTTCTTGGCCTGTGAGAAGCCCAAGAAAGCGGTAAAGGGCCACAGGGGTGGACACATAGCCAGTGAGAGTGAAGCCTGAAGTCAGGTACAGCACTAGTCCTCTGGTACAGTGGGGACCCTGTAGTTCGCTCATCCTACATGCCAAGTTAGGAGTAGGGGCAGGAGAGGAGAAGGAAGAGAATGTCCCCAAGTTAAACTTTTTAACCCCCACTTTTCAAACACTACTACTCCCCCCATTAGCAAGCCAAGCTTTCCTGCCTGGGGCCACCCCCAGAAAAAGCCCTTTTCTGGAAAAGAAGGGGATTGACATGGCCCAGCAGGAAGCCTGAAGCAGGTCACCATGGTAACCCCTGAGGCCTTCCCTCCTTAGTTTTGATAGCCTTGGGACCCCAGGGAGCCACCCCAGGGAGTAAAAGGACTAGGAGGAGGCAGCCAGAGCATTTGGGCTCCTGTGTTGTGGCCTGACTTCCCCCTCCCCCACCCTAGCCCACATCTCTCCCTCAGCCTTCCTACTGAGCTTAGAAGTACTGCCATGGCTGCTATAAAAGAATCCTGGGATAGGAGAAGCCTGAAGGCTCTGTGCAGTGGCCTCCAAAACCCTGGACTGGTCACAGGCCACCTCCCCCTTTTGTCCAGCTGAGCCCCTCTCCACCCACACACATACAATCTACAGCAGGGAGAGCTTGTTACAGCTATGGGGGTCATGACCAGAAAACTGCCCATGTTCAATCAGGTCTACACTTCCTTCCCTCTCACACTTCCCTCTGGATCTGGGAACCTGTGGTTAGAGGGTGGCTGAAGGGAGGTCCTGGGCCATGCCAGTCCAAGCCTGGTAGACGACTCTAGCCACAGCCTTGACTTGTGACCCCAGCACTGCTACACCTGCACACCCAGAGGGTCAGGACCAGTGGAGGCCAGACCCCAACCTAGAACTCAAGTCTGTCTCATCCCAGCAAGGGTGGGGAGCCCCCAAATTAAAGGCTCCTCTTTTACTCCCCCAGCTCCACCCAGCCCCTGAGGCAGCAGGAACAGGCCTGGCGTGTCCCAGCAGTGCCCGCCCAGGCGTGGGTGGGCAGGAACAGCAGCTGGGTACTGGCACACACACAGCACTGTCAGAAGCAGGGATGCCAGAAGAGTCCTAGAGGAAGTCACCTTCCCCACTTATACTGAACTATGTCCTTCCAGGTACTCCTCTAGCCAATGCTAGCATCCACTGAGGGCTTAATATCCCCTTCCTCTGCTGGCTGCTTTCTGTGGGGTCCCTGAGAGGAAGTGAGATGCCTGGCCCAGAGAGGAACCAAAGCTGTTTGGAGCTCAGGAGGGACAGTGCCAGGCAGTGAGTTGGCTGTCTTTGGCTCATGGCACCTGAGCAGGCTACACTCAGAGGAAGGCCTGGCAAAGACAAATGAGAGAGCCAGAACACTGTTCATCCCATGCAGGCGGGGCCTGAGTTACAAGGACAGATGCATGCACACCTGTGAGGTGATGGGGGGACACAGGGGCAGGCAGCCAGCACCTCTTCCTAAACCCCACCTTGAATTCCCATCTCTCCTGGATTCCAAGCCAGCAGGATGGCGTGGAAAGAATGGCACATAGCACAGCTCTACCTTCTACAAGCTGACTGACTTAAGACAAGTAACTTCCCTTTTCTGGGCCTCCTCATCTGGAAAACCGGGTTGATCCCTACTTCCCAGGGCTATCAGGATATGCAATGAGCTCACGTATGGGGATGCTTTGTAAATAGCAATGTTAGCATGTCCAGCACAGTGCCATTTAGAAATAACAAGCTGAAGGAGCTTATACCCCTTCCTGGCTGCTAGCACTCCCACCCAAAACGACTAGCATGAAGACCTACTCAGGAGGAACTGCTAGGGTGCACAGGGTAAGGAACCCAGAATGTGGCTGGTGAGCATCCCCCCACCTCAGCCCCACTAATAATCACAGGGTGGACCCTCCCCCAAACCTGATGTTCCCATGGCAACCAGCAGCCTCCCGGCTGGCCTACCCTTTCCATAGTCCCAACCTCAGAAAATAGTGATGTGCGGTAGTACCCAGACCTGCGTATCCCCATTCACCCCAGCAGGTGAAGCAGAGGAGAATCTGAGGGGAGAAAGGGAACTCTCAGCTCCTCCCCTTCCCCAGCCTCACAGGCATTCCTTGCCCTGGCCTGGCTGCCTGTTGTGGGAGTGGGGAGGGAGGGGAACAGGGAACTTTAGGAGCTGCTGGGCACCCATCCCTCTCAGGCCCCCACCTGTGGCCAATCAGCCACAGCACAGAAGATGTCAGGTCTCCAGCCACCCCAGAAAGAGGCCCCCTGAGCTGGCCTCCCCAGGACTGTGAGCTGGAACAGCTGTGAGTAGGCTGGGGCCAACACTTTGGCTTATAGCAGGCAAGCCTGGGTTGGGGTCTACGGCTGCCCCTACCCAAGCTGGATGCAGTCAAGGGTCCTGGAAGCCAAGCTGAATTCCCGCACCCCCCTGCCTTGTAGGGAAGGTGTAATGTGATCTCAGGCACATTCCCACTCCCTAGAGGTGGAGGAACCTGAGTGGGGGCAGAAAGGGGTCAGAACAGACTGAGAGACTGAACTGCAGCAGCTGGACTTGGCTGAAGACTCAAGTGTGAGGCTTGCCGGCTGCCCGAACTCTCAGGGTAAGAGGCTGGGGGAGGGGGCAGCCCTGGGACCTTCCATCACAGCTCCCAACCCACCCAAGCACTCACAACATACTCTGGCTCCTCCCAAACTATAGTGGGACCAAACCCACCTCCCCACCCTGCACTCACTGGACAAATCTGACCAGAGGGGCCAAGGAGGCAGAAGCTCTTGCCACCCAGGGATTACAACCCTGGAAGTTCCCAGCACCAACTGGGCAAGAGGCTGGGATTCTTGGACTGGCCTTTCCATCTCCCATCTCCCAGGCTGTGCTAGGGCTGTGTGCACCCTGGAACCTGGAAACATACCTCCAACCCCACCAGTTCTTTATTTTGATATTTTTCCCAAGGAGGAAACAATTAAGCTGGGTTTATAAGCATTGGGAAATTTTGTTGGGGCGGTGGGAGGGAGTGCCTGCCAGCTCCAGACAAGGCTAAAGAGAGAAACCAAAAGCCAGGAAGAAGGGAGGGAAGAGAAAAGGAGCCTGTGAGGGAGAGCACGGGCATGTGCAAGAAACAAAAGGACTTGAGTAAGAGGCAGATAGTGCCTCAGTGAGAGGGAGTGTGAGAAAGGGAGAGCAGGCGAGCCTAGCTGGAGAGAGGTGAGTGCAGCTCCCAGAGGGTGTGAGAGGGTGAACAACAGGGACCTGAGAGGAAGAACTCGGGCAGGAGGCAGAGGAGAGACAGACAGAGCAGTTTATTTCGAAGGCTGTGGCAGCCTGAGGGTTGGGTGCGCTGGCAGAGGCAGCCCCCAGAGCTTGAGTGGAGCTGAAGGCAGAGCCTCCTTCCTGTCCTCCTACACTACCCCTAAGCCCCCAGCTAACACACACGTTAAGGAGGCTGCCTTCCTGACGCCTCAGCAGGGATGGAACTTGGGGTGGGGGGCGGTGCAGGGACACTACTATCAGTCCTCCACCGTTGCCAGGATTTGCTCAATTATAGGATAGAATTTGTGCAGATCCTACCAAGTCCTGAGCCACCCACCAGCCGCCTGCCCTCAGTTTGAAGTGGCTTGTGGGGGTCGAGGCAGAAGAGCAGACTTTAAAAACCTGTAAACCGGTCCAGAGCACTAAAGGCCCGAAACACAAAAGGGGGGAAGCTCAGAGAGATCTTGTTTCTCCCAGCTTCCCCCACCCCAACTCTGCAGGAGGGCTCTTTTCCAGCTGTGGAGCTGCGTGCTATCTCTGGTTAGAGACCTGACAGAGCAATTAGGTCACTCCCATGAGCCCCTATCATGGGCTACCCCAGGCGGATTTCAGCTCTCCTAGCTCAAGACAGCATTTCCAGCCTCCACCCGTACAGGGAGGAACTGGGTTCCTCACAACCTTTCCCCCAGACCATTTTGAGCCCCTCCTGTTAAGCGTCCTGTGCCCAGATTGGCTTCTGCGTAGGAGAGAAATTCTTACCAATTCCTTCCTTTGTACTGAGGCAGAGCCCTCTACCCTGCCCCTGGTTTAGCCATCCCACAGACCAGTAACTAGGACCTCCCTTAACCCAAGGAGAAAAGAACTAAAGAGGCTGCTTTCTCCCACTCCAGGACTGTGAGATGCACTGTCCTTGGAACGAAAGAGGCCAAGGCAGGCAGGAGCGGGGGAAGTTAGCGGCGAGCCCAAGAGAGTGGACAGGAAGAGATTCCAGATACAGGAACTGGAGAGTACAGACAGGGCAGGACAAGGCAACCCCCTCCCCAATTCCCCATTAAGTGAGGGTGTCTGCACACTGCTGGGACCTCCAGAAAACAGGAAGAAGAGCAATTTTGACCTCCGGTTCCAACCCAAGTTCTAGATACCATAAGAAGAAGATCCAGAGGTCATCATACAATCCCAGTTACTCCCCACGAACAGCCCCAAAAAACACTGAACCACCGCCCTGAAAGGTGCGTGTGTTGTTTGGGGGCGGGGCAGGGGGGATTGTGAAGGGGAAGGGGAAAGAAGAAAAGAAAGGATCTCCTCTACATAGCTGCTTCCCCAGCCCCTTGGGGAAAGCTAAGCACAGCTCCCCAGTCTTAGAGACATAGGGTGGGAGGCCAACGGGTCGCCTGGGCAGGAATCCACTCTCCACCCATCTCCCTCATTGGCTTGGCCGCCACTCTACGCCGGGGCTGGCCCTCCAAGCTCTGCCACCGGCCCCACTGGACCCCCGACGGGCTCTGGACCGAACCCTCTTTCCCCCCAACGCACACGCACAAACCCCTCTTCCATTCCGCTCCTCTCCACCCGCCGCCTTTGTGAGCCTGGGAGCAGCGCCCGCCCTTCCACGGCCAGGCAGGGAGAAAGGGCGGGGAGGGGGTGGGTGCTAGAAAAGACGGCAAAGCGAAAAGCTAGGGAGGCAAACAGGGAAGAAAGAGATATGAACATGGGAGAACCCCGAATGGGGGAATACAGGCGCTGCCACCCGCCGCAAGCGCAGGGTCTCACGCTGGTGGTCCCTTCACAGCTAAACAAATGAAGAACCTGTGTTCTGGCCTCGTTCCCCGTCCAGGTGAAGCTCGCCCCCGCCAGCGGCTCTCGGCGAAAACCGCCACGTTCCCAGGGGCCCCAGAGGGGGCTGTGTTCTCTCCCTGGCCCGCTCTCGGGTGCGCTCTCGAGGGCCCAGACTCCCCGCTTCGGCCGGCGCTACCATCTCGACTTGATCGGGACAGGCAGAGGGCAGGGCCGGGAATTCGAAGGGTCACAACTCATCCAAGTGCCCCCACCCCACTCCGCCGCACCCTGCCCCGCCCGTCCGCAGGAAAACACACTGGAAAAAGCCAGAGACAAAATGGGGCGCTACTCCTCCTCTGAACACCTCCCCAAAAGCACTCGAGGACGCATGGCCTCACCCCAAAGGAGTGCCTCCTATCTCCAGGATCCAAAGCAGGTAAGTTACTCACTTGGGGTTGAGAGAGCTCCAAGACACGGGCTCCAGGTTCTTGGCCAGCGGCGTGGCGAGCCGGCACAGCGCCAGCACGACCATCGCCACAAGCCACTTGCCGAGCCAACGCTGCCCAGGCCGGGTCATCTTCCTGGGGGCAGGCTGCACTTTGGGTTCTCCTGCCGCCTCCTCAGCAAAGCTGGCCTCTCCTTCTAGAGCCGCGCTGTGCTCCGAGCGGCTTAGGCGCCCATCGTCCGCGGCCGCCGGCCTTTAAGTGCTCTCCTCCTGCTGGCTTCGGTGTCGCTCTTCTCCGCCCGGCCGGCCAGGAAGACTCACTGGGCAGCCGCCCCCAAACCGAGCATGGGCTGCCGCCTCCGAGCGCTCGCTCCTCTGGCCTCTCCGCCGCACGAGGCGCGACGGGGGCTCTGCGCCCCCGGGTGATCCCGGCCGATTCCGCTCCGCTCTCAGAGACTGTTCGGGACTGCGCGCCCCTCCCCGACCGTGTCTCCCCACTGAGGACTAGGTTGCCGCCCCGACGCCGCGACTGTCCTGGGTTTGGCGCCCCTCGGACGAAATAGGAGTCTCTCCACAACACGAGCTCGGTCCAGAGGCTCCCGACTGGGTCGCCCTGGCACGGGCGCTGTTCCTCCAGGCCACACTGGGACTCTGGGCCGTGAGCCCCCCCGACAGCTTCTACTTCAGCGCGGGCCCCGCTCAATGTACTCAGAAGAGCTGGGAGACGCGGCTGAGCGAGCCAGTCCCATCAGTTCCCACCTCTGAAGCCTCAGCCGGGTAGCCCGGCAGCCGCGTAGCCGTCCTAGCTCCCGAGGGTCTGCGGCCAGTGCGATGCTCACACACCTCACCTCCCACTGCTGTCCAGGGAGCAGAGACTCCCCTCCGCGTCCGCTGAGCTGTGTACTCCCCTGCTCAGGCGAACACAGGGCCAACCCTACTCCTCTTAGCCAATAGCAAGCTCCGTCACGGGGTCCTTGTCCCGCACCACGCCCCAAGAACAGGAAGGGGGCGTGGTTTCAGGGAGCTCTTAAGGACGTCGCGCGTTCGATGGTACCAATCTGAGTGTGCGGCTGGTGCGGTTTGGATTGGGTCCCGCCTAGTCCTATTCCCAGAGCGCTCCTCCCGTGGAAAGTTGGCGCTCCTCTAGTGCTGTCGGTGTTCTCGCCTCCCCGCGCGCCTGGTCAGTACTCCGACCCACTGACCGGGGCAAGAGGGCAAGACAGGCTGTCACAAATGTTCCGGGAAAGTACTTCATTCTCTTTTTGCAAACACGAGCCCTGAAGTCCTCGGTGGCCACCTCTGTGGCAAGGATAGCCTGTTGGCTCAGAGTCCATCTTACTAAGAGCTCCGGTGGGCTTTCTTCCTTCTGCCCTTGCAGTGTATTGTCCGGGACATGGACCCGGAGTCCTAAACGTACAAACGCTAGTGGTGGGTGGTGGAGACTCTCAGGCGTCAAATATAGGGTGGGGGAGAAGGTGGTGAAAGGGGGAGTTCTTTGCCCCTGGGACTAGGCCTTCGGGATCTCAGCTTTGGGGGAGAGCCTTGTGGTATCCAAGAGATCAGATTTAGAGTCTTGTCCTGTCTGAACGCGTGGGCAAGGACCCAGCATAGGCTAGAAGGGACGAGAGAGTATCTCGATAAAGAAAAGACACCTCGAGGGCAAAGAGGAAAAGGCACACGGCAGGTGCCTTTTGAAAAAGCAAAAGCGGGCGTCCTGACCCCAAGACGCAGGACCCAGCCCCTTTCGGCCTCGCCATCTGGGTCTTTGTCTCTCAGCTCTGTCCCATTCTCCCCGCCCCTCCTCCCTTCCTTGCTTGTAACTTTGGCTCCATCCCATAACGCAGACTCTCCCGGTCCGACGCGCTCTCCCTGGTCGGATCACAACAGACGTACCCATGTGCTAATGTCTCCCCCTACTGGGCTTCCATAGCACTGCGGGCGCCTGGGACGAGCTGGGAGCTCCAACCCAACCAGGAGCGCGGCACACGCAAGCCTGGCACACAGAAACCTGACACATGTGCTTGTACGCAAGACTTGGGACAGACGTAGTGGCTTTGGCAAAGACCGCAGCTGGTATGAGGATGAAGGGAAAGCACTAGAAGGGAGATCTAGGTATGGGGTTCAGTTTGGGACTGCCAAGGACATGTCTCCTTGCTGCATCTTTACAGAGGTAATTAGCAACATTCCCTAAGTGCTCTATGACTTACACAGTTTCATGTCCTTATGTCACTTAAGTAGGATGCTGAGCTACTGATGATCTCCTTGGTTGTAGAGTGTACCTCTGTTTGGGGGAAAATATAAAGGGGGAAGCTGGGCCCCTCCCACTTTCAGGGACAGGGCCTCCAGTGTGTGAAGAATCTGGGTGGAGAGGGAAGAGGAGGAGCTGGTTGGTTAGGGTCTCTCAGCTCCCCGCTTATTGGGGTGTCAACAAGGAGAGATGAGAACAAGGTGCAAGGGCATGCCAGTAGTCCAGCTTGGAGACTAGGATTCCCTGAAGGGCATGGCAGGGTGTCAAAACCTGAGTATGCAAAACATCCTGCCGCTTACTAAGTGCCTGCTATGTGCCAAGAACCATGTTCAATGCATTCCCTTTGAAAATCCTTTGAGATGAGTTCCACTATCCCCATTTTACATAAGGGGGAAACTAAGGCCCAGGGAGAAATGACTCATCTGAGGTCACCAAGCTGATCTGTGGTGGAAGCAAGATTTGGCTCCAGGCTTACCTGTCCCCATTCCGCTGTATCATACTGAACTTGCCACATTTCCAGCCCCTTCTTGTTTACTTGCTTGCTTAATTCATTCCTAGTTAAAAGTTCATGCCTGGAAAGCAGCAGCCTTCAGCATGGCCAGGGAAGAACTACACTTACAGTCCTCTAAGATGTTACCAGGCCTGGGAAAGCTGATCTGTGTTCCAGGTCACATCCCCAAGTTGCCAGCTCAAATCATCCCCACCAACCCCACACCCAGCCTCAGATTCCACTGCCAATGTGCCCAGTGTACCTTGGGAGGCAAACCCAGGTGGTGGATGGGGGAGACGAGGCTATGCTGCCATACTTGGGAAGCCTGGGAGGACAGAAGCAACTCCTGAGTGCACCAACACCTAATCCTGGATAGGGAAGGTGGAAGAGGAAAGAGGAGATGAATCTTTATCCTAGGTCAGCTCCCCAAGGTGGCCACCCCAGCTTAAGGCACAGCCTTTCTGTCTCAACCTGTCCACCCCAGCCACAGGGCCCTCAGTAGCAGGGCTGGGTCTACTCCCTGCCACAGCCAGGGTCAGTGACTCTGGGCCCCCAACACCTGCTCCATCCTAGCAGAACCTCAGATGCAGTGATTCAGGACCCTAAGGCTGGGAAAAGTACTCACCAGAGGAGTCTGAGAGGAACTCAGTCTTATCCAAGCCTCCCTGCCCAAGTGGCAGTCACATATCTCCCCAAGCCCCAAGCCCCCCCCACGACAGTATCACCAAACACACACATACCTTGGGGTACAAGTCCAACATGCTTCCTCAGCACTGGTCTTATGCTTGCCTCTGAGGGGGTCCTGCCCTGCCTGGCGATTCAAAGAGGAGCCCCACCAAGCTCTGCCTTTGAGGAGCTCCAAGCTGACCAAAACCAGTATTCAGTGGCCTCCTGGACCCAGGCATGTGGAATATCTGGAAGCTGCAGGAGGCTTCAGGCACCATGCCATCCCTGGAGAGCTACAGAGCAGCTCTTTCTGAGCACAGCTCCCTACACTCATGGGAGGCAGGGAGGTAGAAAGTTGAGAGCCACAGATTTCACTTCTTATCAGCTGTGCCTCCTTGGACAAATCACTTAGTCTCTGTGTGCTTCAGTTAATTCACCTGTAATCTGGAGATCATCCCTCCTCCACAGAGCTTTGAGAGGGAGGATGAGACAATGCACATAAAGGGCTTAGCATCATGCCTGGCTCACCACTGTCCCTACTAAATGGAAACTCCTATTCTTCCAAAGAGCCTCTCACAGAAACACCCTCATTCCCAGTCACACACGTTCTGGCTTTCTCCTGTCCACACATGTTGTGTGTGCCACACACACATTTTTAGTTCTTCAACTATTCTCACAAACATGCACATATCCATACCAGAACACTGGATCTGGTCTCACCTATCCATTCACATGGCACCTGGTGCCTGGCCTGCCCTCAGGGAACTTAGAGCCTAGTCCCCACATTTTCTCATGTCACTGTCACACACACATGCATCATTCCCCCCACCTGGATTTCCTTGGGCCTGTCCTTGACCTCTCCTTGTCTGCCTTATACTCTGACACAAGAAAGGGGAACTAACTCATCTGAGGCCACACAGCCAGGAAGTGGAAAAATCAGGATTCGAACAAAGGCCATTTGGCTACACAACTTGAGCTTCTACTCATGATTCTATACTGATATACCAGGGCTCTGGAAAGAAATATATGCCAAGGGGTGGGCCTTGCACACTGAAGGATCACAGAGCTGGAAGCCCATGGCAATGCCAACTGGCACAACACAGCGAGGATACCAGCCCTTCCTCCTGTCTACAGTCATCTCTGGCTTGCCCTAGGCCTCCTGGCTGTCCCCCACGAAGACCCGCAGCCTCGGTGCATGCACTCCCCAAGGACATGCACTGCCATTCTGCACAGACGAGGGAAAGCCATGTTTCTTGAACACCTACAGTAAGCCAGGTACTGTAGCTGGGTGCTTTCACCTTTGCTGCTGTACTAGCTTTGTTTGATTCTGACAACATCCCGAGGGTGATATTGTTAGGTCTATTTTAGAGATGAGAGAAACTGAAGCTCCAGGCTAATCTGGTGGCATTCCTGCCCCTGCCAACCTCAGCCTGCTGCCCTCTCTTGCTGACTGACTCATTCCCACTGCCCTCTTCTCTCCTGTTCTTCTCTCTGTGCACCCCCACCCCTGATTTCCTTTCCCTGCAAACACCTTGCTTTCCCCAAGTCACTCTAAGCCTGGGCCAGTCTCAGGGCAAACCCAGGGTGAGGCCCAAGCACTGCCACTCTTCCTCCTCCTCAGGCTACATAACACCCCAGGACTTGGTCAGATCAAGCCCCAGGTAAGCTTTTCAAGTCTAGTCTTTACTGCAACCATAACAATTCTCAGTGGCTAGGCAAGGAGGGAGTAGTCCTAAAGGCCAAAGGTTCATCTAAACTCTAAACCCCCATCCCCTCCCCAGTCTTTGCCCCATCTTCATGCCTGGTTTATGGATATTTGCACTGAGATCATCTTGATCTTGCAGGTGTCAGCCTGGCCCCAGCTCAGGCTCTTGGCAGGATGACACCAGGGTTACAAAGAGCCCCCTTCTCCTGAGATGGGCCTGTGCCCTCCATCCCTCTCTCTTTATGCCATCCTCATACCCCTTTACCCATCCCTGGATTCCTAGGAATCTGTCCCAAGCCCTCAGGCACCATACATGAAAATGGCCTGCCCCTGCACCTGAAAAGAGCCTAAGACAAGGCATTTGAGATCCAAGCATAGCTCAGTGAGGACAGCAGGTGGCATAAGACTCTGAACTGCAGCTGGAACCCTGGGCTCATTCATTATAGTCCTCATCCCTCCTCTCCTGTGCATCACTGATTTGGGGGCCCAGGTTCCTCTAGTGGTCCCTCCTGTCCTTGGCGTTCTGGCCCAGTGGGGGCAAACTGGAGGGATGGGAGATTCTGCAGCACTCCAGCCCAGCCCACCTATTGCCTCTTCATTCCAGTTACCTGCAGAATGTGAAAAGAGTAGCAGGGCCATTCATCACTGTCAGGGGCTCAGGAATTCAGAGGAAGGGAGCAGCAGCTGTCCCCACCTATCACTGACCACAGCCTAGCTCCCTATCTCAGAGGGCCAGTGGGCCTGGGGAAAGATGATGTTGGCTAGAGAAATGGCATCTTTGCCCAGTCCTGCGCTTGGCTCCT